CTCAATCCGGCTGATACTTCTACCCACCATCTTATCAACCGGCTCCTCTCTATTCGTGTCTCATATAAAGTGTTATCTATTTTTTCGCTGTCGCGGATGTTTGTCGGATCTTTTCTGCATGAGAAATCACGAGTGTGCCATTTTCTGAACCCCTGTGCAGAGATAAGCACCATCACATGGCGTTTGCAGCAGACTTTCATGGCTTATCAACTACACACCAATTATTTTTACTTGCAGAATCGGCCGATAAGGACATTAGTGTAACAAAATCAGAAGGGGGATTTTCTAGAAGAAAAGAAGACTGCTCCCTCGAGATTTCAATGTGTGGTTAAGTCAATATTCAGAGAATACCTCATATCTGCATGGCCATTTCACATCTGTAAATTTTTTCATCAGCTACCCTTCCTCGCAACCACGGATCTATTCTTTCCATTTCAGGACTTCAACCTCATGCTTCACCTACCATACCCATTTCCAACTCCCGCCAGAAAGATGGAGTACAAAGCTCTCCCAGAAAACTCCTCCCCAGAGGAATCCAAGCCTTCCAGCATCATGGTACATCTTCATTTCCTTGAATCATCATGTACCATCCACTAATCGCCACATATAGCAACCGTTTGACACCATCGATATCGAGAAGAGCGCGGTAGTTTCATCGTCTGGATACGGCACAATCCAATCATACACAAGCAAAGAAGGCGTGTTGAGAACTGCACGGAAAGAACAAGGTCGAGGCATTTGGATAAGTTTTGTTCAAAGCCTGGTGGCTGTTGGCATGTTTACTGCTATGGCGGTGACTTTCGTTTTGGTTATTTTGTAGAGGAGCTTGGGGCTATTTTATTCAACGTTGGGGGCTTATACTTCTTTGAGTTATATGTTTAGGACGCATCACAGTTCGTTCAAATTTTTTGCAGGCGTGGGGAAGGGATGATATTGGATTACAGGGCTAGAGCTGTCGTTCCTCTTGCATTCTTTGTTGTTTACTTTGGTTTGTTTTGGCTTGGTTTGTGAGGGAGGATGAGTTAGATACCTCTGGAGATTTGGATAAATAGGTTTATACCCTAGCATATTTGATATATGTTGCGCTTACAATCAACGAGTAAAGATACATAACATGAAATTTTTTCATCAATTTGGTATACTCACCCATTCACCAGTATCTCATTCACGCTCATCCCTTCTCCAATAAATACCCCGAAAACATCTTTCCCTCTATCCACAAAAAACCTCATCAAAAAAGCCTAGGCCAAGTGCCCAACACGATGAGATATCTTATCAAGTGCTCTTGGCCAGTTAAGGTAATAGAGGAGAAGCAAGTGTAAGCCCCTGCCAACAACACGTTTTTCTTTTCATTTTATCTCTTTCATTCTATTTTCAGGAAGTTGAAAGATGAATAGAGAAATTTGAATCTGGCTATTTTCAAAAAGTTGAAGACAAATAGAGAAGTTTGAATCTGGCTAAACCTTTAGAAGTGGTGTTTAATGGGAGGAAGTGGAGTGAAGTGAAGTGATCAATAGATAGATACATATATAAGTATAGTCCCCTGATTGAAAAGAAGGGACATTACAATGAAGTTCTTCATATCCACGGACGAGGAATGAATAAGCACGTAAATAGTATGATGAGTTGTAACTATTGGGTGATGAAAAAGAAATCATTGTGATGGTGCTCACTTCCCTCGTATTAATCTATACTATTCTCCGAACAAAAATGTACATCTCTATAAAATCCTCTCTCCTCCTACATCCCTCCCTCTTTCCTTCCCACCCATCGAAATGGGCAATCCACACCCAAAATCAAAAATCCCTACCTACAAACAAAGATGACACCTCCCCTCCCTTCCCCCTCCCACCCTCCCCCGCCCAGCCGCACACCTACACCCTCCCCCCCTAACCACCTTCCTCCTCACCGCACCCCCCGCCACCACCGGCCCCAAAATCGTACATAAAACCAGCGCCCAAATAATAACCAAGAATATCTGATCTTCTACTACATTTAGATCTTTGATTCCTTTTTTGTTTGCTGAACCTTGGAACGTTTCTTCGATTTTTACTGTACTATTTTGAAATTGTAAACTTTGTAAACGGTGTAAACGGTGTAAACTCAGTGTTCCCGAACTCTGCGCTTCGGATGCAACGAGGAAGCCGAAGCCGCCGCGGGCGATCATGGTGGAGCCGACTATGAGGGCGTCTAGATGGGGTGGTTTTGCTGGTTTTTTTAAGAGGTGAGTGGGGATTGCGGTTTCGTGTTGTGAGATGTCGCGTTGCAATTGGGGATGTTGTGTTTGTGAGGGGGATTTTGGAGTTGTGAATTTTTGGGTCAGGAAATTCATGTAGAGCACTAGTCCTACGGATGCTTTGGCTAGGAACATTAGGAAGGCGTAGAAAATTCCTTTGTAGATTATGGATGGGGAAAACATTTCTGAGATGGGGATCGAGAAACCGATTGAGGCCTATACTCGGATAAATATATACATAGTTAGGTGGGTGGGAATTCATACATCCTTAATTATGGATGTCATATGTAGAGTAATAGTAAGAAGGGAGCTTACGAAGAAAAAAGGTACGAGTATATGATCCATGATTGGTTTGTAGTACTCTTCGAACATGAGAGTAGGTCGATCAATCTCCATATCCAAATCCGAATCCAAATCCGAATCCATATCACCACTTTGCCACGTATATCTGACGATTGCTCCTGCTAGAAATGTAGAAAGTAATATAGATCCCTCTACACACGCAGCAATAGCAACAAGAAGTATAAGTATCAAAGTAGAAAGTATAAATCCGGTATGTCGCGAAACACCTTTTTCCGTACCATAACTCTCACCGAAAGTTCCGCGGTTAACTTCTTTCTGATTTGCGAAAATGGAATGGAAAGTTTTGTAGATGTGTTTGATTAGAAATGGCACCAGGAGAAAGGTGGCAATAATGAGACTGAGGCTTGAAATGGCCGGTCGAGCTATTCTCCATGGATTTGATTGTCCTTGTCCGAGTGCTGTGACGATTTTAACCATTACAAGGACGAGAATATCATCTAGCATTGCGGCGCCAGCAATCAATGTACCAGTTGGAGTTTTCTGTAAGTTTGCTGATGCAAGTATGATGAAAGTAGATCCTAAAGAAGTGGAACATAGCGAGACACCAGCTGAGAAAGCAGCCAAAGCAGTTGGATATCCCGAACCTTCGACTGTATCGAACTTCATACCCATGATAGAGAATGAGAGAGCCATAGGCATGAGGATTCCAATTGCTGCTGCGGAAAGTGTTACCCATATTGTTTCTCTCAACATTTTAAGATCGGTAATGAGTCCGCCTTCGAATACTAGACAGATGAGTCCGAGATATCCGAGATATTGTATTGTTTCTTGCGTTTCTATACTGAGCCATGATGTTCCTGTGATGGGCATTCCGTATAGTATACCGATGAATATTTCCCCAATGAGTCCACAGTAAAGAAAGTTGTCGAGAACATCTCGTGTAATGTTGAGTATGAATATGAAAGTTGATAGAGGAAGGATGATTTCAAGCCCAGGTTCGACATAAGGAAGGTAAGCCATGATGGAGGAGTTTGAAGAATTAGAGACCTGGGACAAATTCATCCAACGAAGGAAGGCTCTCAGATCCTAATAAAGATCTGGGAGTACCTAAAAGTACTCGTGTCAGAAACTACACAAATCCATTGTCTTGATCATCGTAAAGTTTATTCTCGTAAAGTTTATTCTCGTCAAGTAGATCCGTACCTCAAAATCTGACTCTGCCTTATCAGATGGCGTCGTGTCCAACACTCTACAGGCTGAACACTCAATTCCTTTTCTCCGTATTTATCCTCTTTTTATATTTGACACACGTGCAAATCAACCAACTCACCATACAAGGTCTTCTAACGATGTTGTCATTGACTCACCTGAGTGATTTATGATATGATTACGACCTATCACCTTGTACAGAGACGTATCATCGTTTTAGATGTTAAACGAGTTACATAAGGGGGGTAGGACAATGAACCCTTGGGTCGAAAATTATATGCTGATAACCTGGATATCTCCGTCGAAGAGTGTCAGATTTAGTTGCGTTATCTGATCGTCAGTATCGTGGGATAAAGTTTGGCTAAGTTAAGCCTTTTGCATTTGTTCTTTCTTGCTTCTGTCAAATAAGGGTCCTGGCATCTGACAGGTATGGTGTCTGTCATACGAAAATGTAGCGCTGAGCCTTGCTCGCTGGAGTTCCATGATGATGGTAACTCACTGAAGGTTACAGAAGGTACAGGTTTCTGATTAATTTCCCGATCGAGGATACTACCAGAAAATTGGGATGTCGCAAAAATCAATGGCATTTCCTCGACACATGCGAAAGTTTCAAAGGCCAAACGATAACTGAAAGAGAGGTCGGAATGATATCGATTCGTAGTACGTCGCTTACTTATGAGTCCTGAGTATCGATATTACGCCCTTTTCGACCGAGATTCAGCTAATTACCTTTCATTATTCACCAGCCAAAGAGCACTCAGAAGTTAGTCACTCCGGGTTCATCTTCAAAGCCCGTAAGTAAGCACCGTCTAGCTTTGTGACCCATGGGCATTTTCTCAGCTAATGAACACAAATCGAACTCGTCCTTTCGGCTTTCAAGCATCTTGTGATTAAAAGCGTAGGCATGGTAAGTAATAATGAAAGGTAGTATACTTCCCGGCTTCAAGACTCGTAAAATAGCAGGATTTGAAGCGAAATCGTGGAGAATTGAAGAGATAACAACATTTATTTACCTGGATAAAATGGTGAGGTTGTGAAAAATAGCATCACCGCACAAAAATGTTCTGATATTCCCCGGCTGTGTGGGTTATCGAAACATACCAAAATCAAAAATACTAAGCAACTCCTCCCCTTTATCTTGCTCACCCAAAATAACCAACAATAATTCAATGAAAAAAAAAAAAAAAAAAAAGGAAAAAAAAGGAAAAAAAAGGAAAAAAAAGGAAAAAAAAGGCAAAAGAAATATTTATTCTGCCCGTTCTAGGAATCGAACCTAGGATCTCATCATTGATCTATTTGTTTACCTTTCGGAAGACTACTAGTGATGCGCTTTACCGCTAAGCCAAACGGGCTATGATGTGATTAGAAATATGGTGGTTGTTTGGCAATATACAGGGAGGGCGTTTGATAATACGGGTCATGATTTCAAATTTGGCCGGGATTTCGATGACATGAATGGGATCCCTGTGTCGTGATATGGATAGAAGAGAAAGAGGAGTGAGGGATTCAAAATGTAGATTCTGGGTTGGAAAAAAACTTAAACTTGTGTATGAGTGAATGTTGTCCATGTGGTGGTTGGAATTGTGGTGAATGTTAGAAGGTAAGATAGGTTAAGGTTAAGGAAGCATCGATAAATAAAATGGCAGGTGCTATGAACAAGCAAACATTAAATTAGATCTACATCTTCTAGTTCCATATACGTTTTCTATCAATACTTATTTATATACGAGTTCCAATTCGGCCATATTAAACTACAGGCGGCATTCAGAAACTGGCCAACTAGGTAGGTATTCAAGCTTTTTTGAAATTTGAGCTTTACAATAGTACTGAGTTTTGGTAAAATCTACACGGTACTTTGAGAGGGCCAATTATTCATCACGCCAATTCAAAAGAAAAGGCTGTTTGGCAGTTGTGCAGCAATTACGTTTTACATTTTACGGGGAAAGGCGGGGTAGCTGGATGCTTTTCCGATAAAGAAGCAAACAGGTCGGTATTTTGAGATTTCGATTTCGATTTCGATTTCAGAAACTCTTTTTTCTTTTTTGAGATGGATCCAAATCTTCTTCTATACAGCCCGACCTGAGTGGGACCTTGGCTTTCCCGAGCTTCTTATGATATCAGTCTTTCATTCAATTGCTTTTTTGAACGTTCTCGAGCAACGTTAAACTGCCATGGTTATCAGATATCACATTCAAACGCGAAACGCGTTTCCTATCAGGACCTCAAGACCTTCGTCCCACGCAAGTTCTATAACCTCCTAGGAGGAAGCTTTATTTCACACCTCTACAATCTTGTCAATGAAGTACGGCAATGGATACCAATTCTCCTTCACAGTGCAATGCACTGAATGTGTCTGATGAGAAACGCTGCTTGGAGACTGCTACATCTATAAATGGTCTCTTTTGTAGCTTCCACTCTAAACAATGCCAAGGTTTCTATGTCCCCAGAAACGCTCCGAGATAATGAAGAAATCTAACAACCTTCAGGTCTCTACCGCGGATACAAAATTCGCACAGCTCGACTTGAACGCCTGGACAAGAATTTTCCTCTGTACTTTGCGAATACGAAAACTGCCCTGGGAAATGAGACGTTTAAGGGCGTAACAACGGAGGCAGAATGCAAGGAACTACATGATTGGTTATGGACCAAATATCAATTACTAGAAAGAGTAATAAGGGCAAGAAGGTTGCACCATAGTCGATTCTTCAGTCAGAATATGGATTATGGGCATGCGAAGTTCTTGGATCAACTCATGAACCAGAAAATATATGTTACCAAAGCTTTAGAAAGACTCGAGAGAAGAACTGCCGATGTTTGTCAATCTTCGATAAATACTATGGACTCTATGCTAATTAAATTCATCTCAGATCTTGTATAAAAATCATCAATGGTTCAAATGGGTACGAGAATGTCAGGACGACGAGGAAGCAAATCGAGAAAAGGAACAAAAGAAGATAAAACAAGAAGCACAATTATGGCAAAGAAATTGGAAGCAAGCAAAACAAAGAATGGAGGAGAGATTGAGAAGGGAAGAGGAGAAAAAGCAAGATACTTTTCTGGAGAAACTTTATAAGGAGAAGATGAAGGAGGCAGAGGAGAATGAGGGCACGGATGAAGATATGGAGTGGGACCCTATTGGAGATGAACTGGAGGATGGGAGAGGGAACTTTATTGGTATGTTGAGTTACACTCTAAAAATCTCATGTGCACACTTTGAAGGGAGGACTTCACGTTATATGTCTAATCGATACAAACTGACCATATCTAAAAGATCTCATGCGACATTTTTTATGGATGTCCTCAGAAGAAGAACTAAAAACGGAAGAACCAGAAATGGAAAAACCACCCTCGAATGAAATTGACAAGAATGATTTGACCGAGAATAATGTGGCATCTCAAGAACCAACCTTTAACACAAATAGTATCGACGAACTTGTATCCCAAATTGAGTCCTCTTCTATATCCAAAAAGTCGAAGAAGAAAAAGAAGAAGAATGGAGCAGCTACAACTACCACTCCTTCTCACGCGGCCAAGGCAAGCAAACCGACTCCCAATCCACAAGAGCTCCCTGATAAATCTCTAATCGAAACCCGAAAGGACATACATCATAGGTTGGCTCATGGAATCAAAATTGACCTTGATGTTCATGGAGTAATGGTGGCTGGTACGGCAGAGAATCCTCACGTTCAAAAAACAACCCGGACCTTTACAGAATTTGAAGTCCAACGACTACTCGGCGAGATATCTGAGATCAAGCACTTATTGTTCTGTCGATTATTGCTTGGGCACGCCGCATTACTCCCAGCAGCTCTTCGCGCTGATAGTATCGAGGCATTCTTTGCAGATGTGGAAGTGACTGGTACGGCTCTGAGAGATGTCTGTCTCAAAATGGAGAAACCTAGCCTCCAAGAAATTCGCGATGCATGCGCAGATTTCTTTCGGTCTGAAGAAGAAGCAGAAGAGGAAAATGAACCAGAGGCTCCAACCAATGACGCTCATGGTCACGAAAACCATGAAGCCGACCTTGCTGACCCTTATGATTTAAAGATCAGGTTTACACGGAAAAAGCGTGGTGGATTACCTGGAACATGGCGTTCAAAGCAAGAGATTTCCCGAGAAGAGGCAGCTGAGAGTATGCGTGGAATGGTCCCTGGAATGGCACCATCCATGGAAAACATTATGGGCGGTGAGGAAGGGGGTGCTATTGATTTCGGTAATTCTAATAATGCTCAGAAAGTACGCAAGAAGATCCGCGTAAAGATTTGTGGTAGAACGATATGGAATTACCCCAGTGATAAAGCAATGAGTCGTGGAGGGTGGTTACATTTCTCCATCATCGCGAAGGATAGTAACCTCAATACTGCAATCGAGCTTTGTCGAAATTGGGACGAGTTCTTTGAGCTGAGCATGTTGGCCTATTGGGGGTACTTTCCTGCGTCAAATTGGGCATCATGGATTGGAACTAAACTGAGGCAGCATGCCCTACAACTGGCGAGTTTTATTGGCCCTACTTATGATCGGCCAACTAACGATATCCTTGATAGGGCTTCGTCATGTACTACGAAAGTATAGATCCGGATGCCAAGGAGCTCAGTGTGAGTTTCTCACAAGCAGGTCGTAACAGACAGGCCCGGCGTCAGCATGCTATATTCCAAGCAAGAAACGTGATCTGTGCCCATATTAAACGAGACGATCAAGCAAGTCGCCGATTCATTCAATATCTATCCATGCAAAGTCATCGTTTAGTTTTGCTTGTTAGAGATGCTGAGAGTGCTAAGTTGTTGGTGAAACCTCCGGAAGAAGAACGATGGCTATGGCGAGAGAAACGTGGTGTTGGACGAGTGGTCAAAAATGAGTGGAATATTTTAAAAAGAATTGGACCTGAATTTTTCGAGGAAATGGATCGTCATCGGAAGTGGAACTTTTCCTTCAAAGATTATTATGATATTTATGTTTGGGATCTTGAGCCTGGGGGAAATTTTGGTGCACTGTATTATAATGTTCAGCAGGTAAGTTACCCCGTTGAGAGAACTTATCAATCCCTACTAACAAAGCTTAGATGCTTACTAAGGCACTTCGGTGTCGCAAGGTTACAGACTTGTACAAACCGGCGGCTTCTATCTTAAAGGCGCTTTATCGAGATGAAGACTGCCTTCATAAAGACGTCAGACCAGGAGGCCCCGAACAGTTCATAAACCAATGGGACTGCCATCAAGATGAGAGAGCAAAAATCTTTCATGACCTCGATGACTGGAACCAGCGACCGACTGAACCAATAGATTCATTGACGAGCAATCTCTTTTACAATGAGGCAGATGCTTTGGAGGACGAGGTATTATTTCCAGAGGAGCGAGCCGAAGAGGTATCGAATTCCCAGGTAGCCGTTGGGAAAAAGGATTCATTGAGAGCATTTGAGGAGGAAGAGCTTTCCACGAAAACATTCGTCGAAGGAACCTGGAATTGGGAATCAGAAGATTCCGGAAATGAATCTCATGGGCCTCGTAAAAGTGCGGTCGAGGATGACGGCGGTGATGAACTTGAAGATGTGGATGACGATGACTATGATGATGACGACTATCCGAAAGAATTTCCCAGAGAGCTTCGGCCCGTTGTAGATAGACTTGTAGTCGAGAAGACTCACAAAGATGACTTTCCTATTGATTATTTAAAAGGAGATTTTAAAAGGTTCATTGAGAAGACAAAATCAAGAAGTATGATTCCAGTCCTCTTCTCACATTCCCAAGCAAAACTAACTTATTGAATAGCTTTCAAAAAAGTTTGGCACCAAGCGGACTTTACCCCCAATGGACGGGAGCGGTATCTACAAATGAAGAAAATGACCCGTGAATCCTGGTGGTACAATTGTTCTCGAAAACCCTTCTTTAAAGCACCTTCAACAGTGCTCAATTTTGAGGTGATGAGTTGGCTCAAGGTCACAGCTGACGACATGAATGATGTAGAGAAGGCGGTGAGCAAAATATACCCGTTTTTTAACCCAGGCTTCCTGAATTCGGAAGAGGGAAAGACATTCAAAGACTCTTTGATGTTCAAGCAGGGGGAGCGAGCCAAGAGTTATCCAGATATTAGAACAGACAAATCTATAATCCATCAGCCCGAAGGATTTTGCACCGATCTCGACAACTATCGAAGGCAAATGAAGTTCAGAGATGATTACGCATCATTCCCCCTTGAATGGGATATGAAAATTCGACCTATCATTGCAAGACGTAAGAATCCGCTCTTTCCTTTTCCCAGAAAGTTACTGACACAGCCTTTTGCAGTTTACAAGTCTGGTATCATTCGTAGTCATGCATCGATAGGATCCAATTGTCAGGCATTTCAGGGTACAGAA